TGTTTGCTAATTTTCGTGACATAAGTTGGAAGAAATATTAGATTGGTTGTATCTTTTGAAATCTCTCCTCAAATATATTTTACCTAGATTAAAATGAAACCCTTGAGTAAACATGCAAGCAAATTATCCTGGAGTGGTACAAGGGGAATTGTGTTAAATGTTTGTGTGAGACAGAGCCTAAGTGAGTAGTTCAGGATGTTACTAATGGAAAATAGTCAAGATCATTGCTTCTTATGTGCCTGTGGTCAATGCAATTGAAAATAATTTCTGTCTGCATGCTCAGTGAGGATTTTAGGAACAAAATATTGATCTCATCTCTTAAGCTGGGATTCATCTCACCTGGCTTCAGATTTCTCAGTTGGATGTCTAGGTGTAAGCTATCTGCTGTAAATTTCCCATATGGTGAAATAGATAATTTATGTGATCTATCTTGTTTTCTCCATGGATTATGAAGGGAGCCCAGGATGCATAGATTTAACTTTCAGATACCTAAATTAGGAACAGAGTAATCCTGTCTTTAATGAAGACATTTCAAGGTCATGGGTCAACTTATGAGAACAGAAGCAGCATAGATCACACAGTTAATGACAGTCTTAACAGAAAATATAAAGGTGAGGCCAAAGTAAATGCGAAGACTGAACTCTACTCTGCATCAAACCTATCAGTGAAGTGGTGCTTGGCTCTTGCTTTTCAAACTCTGCTAATTGTGGGTATAAATCAGAAACTTCACAGGCAGTAATTCTGTCCTAATCATTTCACTTAGCCATTAGGGAAGGATAAGAGAAGCCCTAGAGATGCTCTGTATTCAACGGCTTGAAGTTCCAAGGGACAACTGACAGTGATGGTCTGTCGATCACTTCTTTTTAGTCAAAACCTTCCTGGAAAACCCAGTTGTAGGAGATGGGATGATGGTGCAAAGTGAGAGAGCTGTCCTCATGGGAATCCTCAGGTTGGCAGATCTGCTTTATCACCCAAGTGGTAGAAATCAAAGTAGAACAGGTCTGATGGTCACATCCTTCTTTGTTAAGAATTTCCGATGAATTTTGGGAAAAAAAGGTAACCACATTTTTTCCAAGAAATTCCATATGAACTGTGCAGACTATAGTAACTAAATGTGTGATAATGACCCAGTGTCCATATTTCATAATTTAGTTGTGCATTTAAGCTGTTATGTTAGAGCTAATTTTTTTGCCATGATTAAAGAATCTTTGTTTCAGTGATCCCAGTGTTAATGTACTCCAGATCCTGTTTCTTTAGCAGAGTAACAGATGTTCACAGTTTGGTGCAATTTTCAGATGAGCAATGTTGTTTATAATAAATTTTCCTGAGACCACCCAACTCATTTCACTTGTAACTTGAACTATGTCCAAGTGTTGATCTCAGGAGATGTAAAAGAGATGTAATAATTTTGTGCCCCACCCAGTTCAAAAGACATAACTTAGTATAGATGGAATTTAAATATCTATACTTCCAATCAACATAGAAAGTCAAAGTTTTATCTTGCATGCTGTGAAAAACAGCATGAAATAGCAACATTATTCCTTTCATTCATCAAGATGTATGTTGACATCTGAAGATGTCTATTGACAAGGTCTGAATGAAACAAAATTATAAACCAAAGATGAACAGATGAAAAAGCACAACATAGCAAGTAAAACCAAAGAAATTGAGATTTATCCTAGAAAAAGCAGATTTATTAAACACAGAAAAAAAAATCAGAAATGCACTATTAAATATAGCTTGGGATGTGACAAAATGCATCATGTCTTGTTAGAAACCGCTGCAACAAATTTTGTGCTGCATTAACCAAAACATAGTGTGATTTTGGTATGTCTCTATCTGGGACATTAAATATAATGTCAAGCATTTAACAGCAAAATTAGTGTCGATAAGGTTTAGGGATGTTAGAAAGCAAGTATTGAGGAACTTTGGGAGATGGAAAATGAACCTTTAATTCATGTCTCTGCGTTTATAAGAAGTCCTAGAGACTCAATCATATCAGTTTTGTCAAGGTACAGAACAACTCCCAAAGGAAAAAAGAAGCTCTGAATGATTTGAGACCGTGAAAATTAAACAGACAATTCTGAATTGACAGTAATTGGTACTGAATGAAACAGTACCATTTTTTTTTTTCTTTCCTGAAAGTTATTATACTTTATACTTAACATTTAGTGCAGTTTTATTTTGAGGTTATAAACTGAGAACTCAGAAAAAAGCATTGAGAGGTTCCCATGGCAACCATAGTGTGCACATTAACTATGTGAACATTATGATTACGGTAATGTGACATCGTGGTATTGACTCTTGCTGTTTGGCAGGTATGTATTTTACAATATGAGTTAATTGATGAATGTAGAGATACTTATAGATGGCATTAAAATCAATGATCTGATTTTTTTTTTTTTTTTTTTTTGCAAGAGAATTGCTCTACTGCATGATGCAAGTAATTTATTTAAATTTCTTGAAAGCACCTTGGCTGGAGGGTTCTGAGCTGCATTTTTCTATATGGTTTTTAGGCACAGTGAATACTTAGTCCTGTCCTCTGACAGTGATCGTCCTCGAGTCAGAAAATGAGGATTTTCATAATGGTGTGCAGTTGTGTCACAGCAGCCCATGAGTGAATACGCAGATTGACGGGATGCTCTGATCCCCCAGCTCTCAATGGCTTTTGTGTTTGCTTAACTGCTTGCCAGCAATGAAGATGCTATTTCAGCATCTTCCTTTCAGCTGGAGCCAGAAATACCAAATGCAAAGGAAATGGTGCTGCTGTGAAGACTGCTGAAAGAGATTGGGTTTTAGTTAAAAATAAATAAATTCATTCATCATTGCACCTCACTGTTATCTGTTTTTCCCCTCTCTTTTTCAGCTAGCAACTAATGGCAAACTGCCCCTTCAGTAATTCATGTGTATTGGTTGTTAATGAAATTCCAGTCTTTCTCATTTGGAAATGAAAAAATATTTTGTCACTGCCTTGGTTACACATGCTGTGGTAGATATTAGAAACTATCTGCTTTTTATAGTCTTATAATAGTCTTGACCTGAATATATCCCTGACTTTTGAAGAGTGACCTGTCTTGCTCTACAACAAAAGGTTTATGCTTTTAAGCCTGAAATTAAAATCTTCTCTATCTCCACTTTTTATTTAGTTTTAAAATAATCTTCTGCTTGCCTTTTTTTTTTTCTTTCTGTTTTTCGTTACAAAAGTAAGAGAAATGTTGGAACTTATATTAGAAAACATATGGGATGTAACCTTCATTCTTGCTCTAGCTCTGTTTCCCAGGAAACGAATCAGCGCAGCATGAAAAGGATCTAAAGCTCCTAGATCCAGTGCAGAAAAAGTGAATGCAGGTCTAAAAAGTGGTTTTTAAGGCAATGACTGCTAAGGACCTCCTACAAAGCTGTGGTGGGAGAGTTTTTTGGAGAGCAGAGTCTGAGTAAAAGGGGAGTCTTTTGGTGGGTCTGCAGTACACAAACCTGGAGAAAACGTCATCTGGGCAATTCTGCAACCTTTACTTATGTTACTCAGGATGGCTGTATTAATTTAGACAACCCATTCCCGTGGGGACCACGAATAGTTCCTGGGGTTGTCAGTTTGCTTGTGATCAAGCGGCTGCAAAGGTGCCTTGGAAGTCCCTGGACTTCTGCCACCTGTGCTGTGAGCGTGGGCAGATGCAGTTTCCATCTGCACAGGCGTGCAGCTGTAACTGTGCCTCGTGGCAGGCGTGTGCATGCTATCTCCACCGGTGCTGCTTTCTGAGGGGAAAAGAAGAGCTATAAACCCCTTAGCCCAGTAAATCCTCACCTACCTTGTAAGTCCTGCTGGCCCATTATTGTTTCGTGGAAAAACATTTGACTTCAGAGCACTGGATTTATGAAATAAAATCAAAGTATTCAAGCATTGCATTTTTGGCAATTGTTTGTAATGATAAAGCTTCCTGATGTTACTAGTAAACTCCAGTGTCACATTGTGGTACTGCAGCTATTATTAAAATTGGATTAACACTGTCTTCCTATGGGTAGGGAGATTAGATTAGCACATGCACCAATTTGGCAAAAAACCCACATTAACTATACTTAATTTTGCTCTTGCTTGCTCTGGGAAGTTCATACAGCCTGGCCATGACTATATATTTTTTAATTTGCTACCTTCTTTAAGACCTCTTTTGTCTTAAAAGTAGGGCTTCCATATGACTCCCTTATGTGATCTTAACTTTGTGTGCTGCTGTTAATGAAGTTGAACTAGACCTGGCTGAGAATTTTCCATCAGAACAAATTTCTCCTAGAAATGCCTGTAAAACCAATTTATCAAAAGAAAATGTTTTACTATTTTTTTTTTAACTTTTCCAATAGGAAAATCAAAGCATTTGTTGGGTTTAGTGTTTAGTTCAACCTAATTGACCGTATTTTATTTTACAGAATTGACCTCAAGGATTTTATCTTTGAGTTAGTTGAAAATACAAAAACAAAACTCTTGAAACTGTATGGAACACTGAAACTATTCTTGATAACAAGTGATAATTTTTGCAAAACTTTTTTAGCCCGAAAAAGATACTGAGTGAATTTCTTCAAAAATAGCTGAGTTGTCTGTGTGAGTGACAGATGTAAACACATTTTGCCTGTGTTTCTGAAGACTGTTCAAAAAAAAAAAAAGTGCTTCCAGGTGTTTGGTCAAGTGTTGAGATGCTCCTGTCTTCCCGTTGTGAAAGGGACAAAAACATTACTCAACACTTCTCATATTAAGAAATAACAAACAAGGAAACATTATGTATTTTAAAAAGAAAGATGCAACTTTTTCTAGTTCAGTAAAGCTTAAATACAACCAGGAGATGATAGAAGCCACAGGAACAAGTGAGAGTGTGGTTTTGTCATACACCAATACTAACGAACATTAGAAAATATTGGTAATCAAGATTGTGAAAGATCCAAAAAAAGTTAACATGTTTATGCTTTTATTTTATATAGTTATATCCAATTTCAAAGTTTTGTCTTTCTTCTTTCAGAATGATCAGTCTATGCAAGATATGCAGATAATGGGAGGAGACGATCTTTCAAAGCTGACTGGGAAGGTTTGTTAATTTTAAATTTAAGAAAAAAAATACAAGAAAACACTTGAGAAAAGCTGTGTAATATTGTGCATGGACTGTCAGATACTAATACTGGAATCAAAGAAATTTATTAATCTCTATTAAATTGCTGTAATGCCATTGCTTTCAGATTGCAGACACCCCAAAAGGTCAGAATGTAGCCCCTCCAGCCTAGTGTAGGGATTTCCCAAGAGTTATACATGTACCATCAGTGAGATTGTGGGCAAAATTTGTGCTGGAATCCTTCCCTTGAGCTTGTTTATGTCTTGGAGCTTTGCTTTTTCTGCCTTCGGTGGGTGCCTGCAAGCAAACCACACGTTGAGTATCCCTGTTGAATTCAGCATATGAGGAGTTTAATACAATTTTGCCTAATGAACAAAGTTCAGTTGTGGAAGCTTTCACTCAGATAATCAAATGGGATTTTTTATTATTTCAACATCAGGCTGGCTGCATGACTGAATTTGCTTTGCACCGTGCCTGAACATTGTGGTAATGGAAGAGAGTGGTTTGAGTCAGTGAAAAGGCTATTTTCATCCAACCATGGTAATACAAAGCAGTACTTTGAAGAGGAAGGAAGGCTGATTTCATTAGGCAAATGGTCTATGTGGAAAATGGTCAGAAATGGATTCTTTACTTACGCATTAAGGCAACATAATACTTACCTTGTTATTTGCACTGTACGTGCAGTTCCTCTTTTATTAGCTGGCACTAAATAATACCAGTTTCATCAAAGCATTCAAATGTAGCACTAGCAAACTCATTTGTTTTGTTGTACTATCGCACACCAGAAAAAGAAGAGACAAACCTAACTTTAAATATTTCATTAATATTAAATAAGTTTTGATGCAACTAGAACTTAAATGAAAAAAATGTTGTTATACATTTATATATATAAATATTGAATATTTTAGTGATACGTATGTCCTCAATTTGCACTTCTAAATACTCCTGCTGGGTGTTTGTTTCCAAACTATCACTAGATCATTAATCATGTTCTTGGGAAATATGAGTTCATTTGCTGCTTTCTAATATTCAAACACTGGAGCTACCTGTTTTTCTATGATGATTTTGAATATGTTTCTCTGCCTCACAGGCAGAACTGGCAGTGCACCTATTCATCTTGCATAACATTTCTCTTTCCCAAATAGTCCAAATACTTTCTAATCTTCCAGGCCCAGCTCCCCTTCTCCATCTTCCAATCTCAAATTTTCTTGATGAATGGTTCAGTTATTAGTATCATTTCCAGATATAATCTTTCTAGTATCATTCGAATTCACTGGGGCAAAACATTATTTTCTTTCGCAGGACTTTGTGTATTTGTGTATGTCCACATGTGTATGAGCGATAAGGAAAATTTGACCCCAAGTAGTTCTGCTCTTTCCAAAAATGAAGCAAATTGTTTTCTTATATTGAAAATCTTAGTGACCTTTTTTGCGTTGGCATGGTCTTCCTGTTCCCAGGTATGGAACAAGACTTAAAATTTGCCTTTCGGGAGGCTAGGAGATACTTGGGGAGACTGAACAGCAATATGGTTTAGGATTGTTGGGTAAGGAAGCTGGGATCTTGGATAGGCGTGAAGTGGCTGGTTTGGGAACGAAGGCGGTTGCTGATCAGAAAAGGAGCCCAGTGTTGGAAGCTGGGTGTAGAGAGGCTGAAGCGGAGCAGGAGGAGAGTGCTGGGACTGTCAGGAGAGCAAACCTGCTGAAAGGGCATGTTCGGCACTTGTTTGTACGTGTGGTAGTCTGACGCAGCTGATGTACGAATAATTAAATAGCATTTTCACTGTAACACGTGAGAATGGGGTTTCCTTAAGACTTATTTTACTGATTGAAAAGCTGGGATGCAAAGCTTGAGCTCAAATGTTCATACTTACATGTCTAAAGTTGGATATATGAAGGAGTGGCTTATGTCCACGGATGCCAACTCCTCCATCTGTTGTTGACATAAGCAATTAGTGCAAGTATTCAGCACATTTTACTAATCAGCCATTTGTGGTCTGATTCAGAGCCTCCTACAGTCCATGCAAATCTCTCCTTGAAGTGTTTTTTAGTACCTTAGTTTAGCTGCTGGCTGGCTTTAGTAACCATTCTCAGTCACTGAGTGAATTAGTGGAAGACTTACTGCTAGAATTCAACTTCCCTGCTTTTAAGCAAGCTGCATGTTTCTTCTGCCTGCTTGGAGTACTTATTAAGAAAAGATTGCAATTATATTGAAAAATTAATATGTCAGGTTATGTCCCATTAACTTAATGATCATGGAAGGTGTTTCCAAAAGTGCCAGCATGGGTTTGGAATGTAAGTTCCATTAAGTTTCTGTAAAGTTCAAAAGTATCAATAATGTAAACAGTTTTGAAACCTGCAGACAAAAGATTCTGAGATTCTGATCTTAAAGTGCTCTTCATTATGTAATAATACCTGGAACCTCGGCTAGCCTGTAATCTTAGTGAACAGCTAAATCATTTCCATGCAAACCATATTATTGGAAAAAAAGATTACTGAGTATATTCATGAACATGCTGTTCTATAACAACGGGGGTTTTTTTCTGAGAAAGCTTAAAGAAAGCAAAAAATCTTAAAATCTAATTAAAAAGAGGCTGTTAGGGATAATAGCTCTTCAGAAGGAAGAATATCTCCTCTGTACTTCTATACAATATGCTTTTGTTTATAAAAATATTACAAGCCTGGGAAAAATGTATAATGACCCAAACCATGAAAAAGATAAATATTCTGAGAGAGAGGAGAGTTAGCATATAGACCCAAACTGTTACCTGAAGAAAATCATCCACAATTTGAAATTCTTCTTCTGTGAGGAAGGTCACAGAGGCAAGAATGAAGATTTCCATGGCATGAATCATTAATAAAGGTACTTGAAGAATGAGTCCTGATATAGCTTATGACTCTAATGTTTTGTAACTATTCACTTCTATGCAGAAAAAATATAATTTCAAAATCTCTCCTTTAATGATGTAAGTGGTGAACATAAAATTTCTCAACAGCCGATTTCATAGTTAAGTAGCTGCTTAGTTTTCAGTTACTTTAAATCTGAAATGCACATTTGGGTAAAAATTATCATTAATGTTTGTAAAGAGGAATACATTTTGAAAATGGGGAGATAATTAATAACTGCCCAGAAAACTAGAGGCATTGTTTCAAAGCAAGATGGCTATGAAAATTTATGTAGATGAGGTAAAAGAACAAATAATACAACCCCATTTAGTATTAGTACTCTAATCATACTATATAATACTGTAAAAATTTGTAACATATTTTAAAATATTTGTGGCATTTAAACTAAGTAAATTTTAAAACATCTAGAAACTTCAGTGGATTCAGCCGTACTGGAGTTATGAGTTATCACTGCCATTTACCTCTTATACTTCTATGTGTGTATATTTTGTCCCAAGAGCTTTGGAGCTGGTTATGTAGCCCAAAGTTTCTACCAACAGGGATCGTTCTGTATGTCACTCCATATGTATTATGTCCTGCCACCTTTCACAAAAACTGCTATACCACATTGACTTGTCTCCTTGCAAATGAGACAACTTAGAAAAAATCATAAACTTAGAGTTTATATAATTTTGCAATTATTACAGTTGTATAATGTATTTGATGTCAAAATTAGATCCATATATTTTTATCATTATCACTATTTCTACATAACATAGGATGTGAACAAAATTTATCATTCTTATTTGTAAGGTTGATAAGAACTGATAATTAAAACTAAGTTGTTATATGTAGTTAGTATGATACAGTTATGGAGCCAGTGAATTTCTGATATTCCGTCTGTATGTAATACAGATCAATGCTTATGTTCTTTATGAAGGACCATTCCCCTTGTTCATATTAAGTACATCTTGTTGACAGCCAGTGGTTTTGGCATTTTCGTAGAAGTGTAGAAGGTCATAAATAGCGATCAAGTAAAAAAGAAAGTGAATGTCTTGTATTCTCTCTGCACTTCATTGCGTTAGTTTGAGGGCTCCGTCACTACTCTGATGCTCTCCTAAAGCAACTGATCAGCTCATATCAAAAAGAAGTTTCACTCAGAGGAAGATATCCGCCATGCAGCACTCCTCACTTCCTTCTGGCAGGATTTGTGCTATAAAATCTCCAAGCTTCCTTTATATGTCTCACCTAAACCAATGTATCCACTGTCTATCATTTTCTTGCCCCACTTGTCATATGGGAAGATGTTCCAGGAACGTACTTCAATCTCACTTTCTTTCCTTATGCCTCTCATTTCTTCTCTTATTTTACTGAACCATTTTCTCTGCATGTCATAGGTTCTAACAACAGTTCTGAGAGCTGTTTCTCTAGCATTCTCCTAAATATGTTAGCCTTTCAGTATTTAATAAATGATACGTGGCAGCTGAGTAACAGAGTGTTATTCTCTAGATTTAAAATACATATTATCCTCTCCACCACTCCAAGTTTGTTTCTCAGAATTTTGTTGGTTCTGTACTTATTATTTTTTCTCCTTCGGTATTCACTGCCTTGACTAATATTGTGCTTTCTCTTCCTGTATGTGGTCCTTTCTGAAATAATGTCTATAAATTTGCAGAAGAAAATAAAGGCATTCTCTTTAGAATATTATGGACATGCAAGACTATTTATATGACAGTAAAGGTATACAAAATACACTATACACTTCTGCAATAGAAATGTCCTCCACTCATCTCTACATCTTACTGTATTCCTATCAGATGTGCAACCTGGCCTTTTTCATCTTTTTAGAGGTTGATTTTATGTGTCTTGAAGCATTCCACATCTTCGGTACCTAACTGCCATCTTTAGTCACTTTTGTTGTTCTGCATTTTTTCTTAATTAGATTTTATACTGTCTAGTCTTCTGACAGTTGCCATCCTTAACTGCTTTTTCCACAGCAAAAGACACTATTTTTTTCTTCCCCAAAGTCAATCACCTTTCTTTGCACTTACTTAAGTAATTTTTTCTACTATTCATCATTATTTTCCTTTTTTGTTG